TGCATTAACAATACATTATTTTTCCTCTCCGGAAAAAAAAAAAAAGAGAAAACACAGTTCTTTGTTTTCATTTAAAAAGTCTATAGATGGTGTAGAAAAAAATGAACTTTGAAAAGAAATTTTTGGCCTGTTGTTTAACCTGGGCATCCGGATGACAGTTTAAGTTGGTAAGCACCGGCCATGGTTCAGCTTGTTCGATTACCTCATCCAAGGTTTCGTGCTCCAATAAATTCGGTAATCTCATCGTTGTATACTATAAAAAATGTGGTCCAAAAAAAAAAAAAGAACAGTACAGTTGTGTTCAGGTATCAGTTATTGACATCACACTTCATCATAACATTGCTGTCAATTTAGCTGAACATCCAATTCTTTCAACTTTTTCTTGTTTGCTACTGTTACTTTTATTTTTATTATTATTCTTCTTTCTATTCCTGTTCTTACTACCTGCTCCATCTTTATTGCCTATCATTTAACAAAAAAAAAAAACGCATTAATTTTATCATTTTGCATTTTCAGTTGAAGAAAAAAGTATTATCAAAAAGTGAAAGAAAATATTTGCTTTTAATTTACGCACCAAATAAAAAAGTACTAATAATTTTCTTTGGAGTAAAAGACAAAAAAAGAGGCTTTTTTTTTGTGCAAAACAACAAGAAAAAAAAAGAAGATAAGAATAAAGAAGAAAAACTTTTTTTTACAGACAAATTTCACATCCTATCCTCTGCTCCGTTTATATCTATACATCCAAAAATCACATACAGCACATGTACTCATCTCAACTCAGATACGCACAAAGCACACACCAACTTTTTCGTCACTTATATTTAATCACAAATCCTTTGTTACTGGTCGCTGCGTTTTCTTTTTAGCTTTCTAAATTTATAAATCTTTTCTTTAATATTCATCAACCAAGTCTTTTTTCCTCCTTCCCTTTCCACTAACAGTTTTACTCTTCAAATAATGATAGTACAGGAGTTGTCGGCTTAAACAACAACAACAACAACAAAATTCCTAACCAACTTTTGACAAGTACACATTGAGCGACGTTTACGCGAAAGTACCAAACGACAACAGGTAGACAAA